GCGTCAGACTTGGAGTTAGGAAGACCTGAGTTCAAATCCTGCCTTCGACACTTACTAGCTATGTGACCCTAGGCAAGTCACTTAAGCTCTCTCCCTCAGTTTCCTCTTCTGTAAAATGAGGGAGCTGGACTCAATGGTCTCTAAAGGCCCTTCAGTCTTGAAATCTACAAACCTTTGACCTCTATGACAAATTTGTATATGACAAGGGACAATTCTAAAAGGTTAGAGCAGAACAGAATCAGAAACTTACTTCTGAAGCTGGCAGAATGTCTTCTAATTTTAGGCAGAGTAGTTCTGACTCAAAGGAAGAAGACATGTCTTCTTCAAAAATTTCCTTACAAACTTGCTCCAATTTAACTATTGAAAAATTCTTTATTTCTAACTACAATGTTCAACATTTCTTCTCACACTTTGAGCAAAGAATAGTTCCTCTGAACACTAAACACAGTTGGTTAGTCACTATTCATTGTAAAATAGCCTTTGATTATTAATTCACCTTATCTCTCTCTCTCTCTCTCTCTCTCTCTCTCTCTCTCTCTCTCTCTCTCTCTCTCTCACACACACACACACACACACACACACACACACACACACACAACACTCTTTTGTCAAAAGCCTTTTTTTCTCTTCTCTGGACATTCTCTAGTTTCTCCACATTCCTCTTAAAATATGGATCCTCAGAAATATTATAGTATAGAATATGGGTACACGAATATAGGAGAATTACTACAGCATGAATTGTTTCTACAGGTAAGATGTTAGGAGGGACTGGTTGCCCCTTCCAGGGCAGTGTGGATCTGATCAATCCCTATCTGGACTTTTCCATGCATAGAGATGTAGAGGTCATCCCCTAAGACTTGGAGTCCTTGCTTTATTGTCATCATTAACAAATATTTATTGAGCATTTATTATGTACTATGTAGTGTGTATAGTGAGTGCTTAGTGTTAAAGGTACTCTTGGTATGGCTTTGATCTGTGACCAAGTAAAGAGGGTATTTTCTCAGAGCAGTGAAATAGACAATGTCTCAGGCTGGGAGCCAGGGGCACATGGATTTAGGTCTAAAATTTCCCATGGAGATACTGCATTATTCTAGACAAAGCCTCTTCTCCCTTTGTTGCTCAGGTGTTTCAGTCATGTCTGCCTCCTCATGGCTCCATTTGGGGGTTTCTTGGCAAAGATACTGGAGCAATTTGCCATTTCCTTCTCCAGCTGATTTTACAGATGAGGAAACTGAGGCAAACAGGGTAAAGTGACTTGCCTAGAGTCACACAGCTAGTAAGTGTCTGAGGATGGATTTGAATTCAGATCTTCCTGACTCCAGGCCCAGCACTCTATTTGCTACACCACCTAGCTGCCCATCTTTTCTCTCTACCCCATTATCAACCTTTTTCTTTTCTTCAATTGTCCCAGTTGGTAGGGAAAAGATCCCATATTCCTCTTCTTATTCCAAGAGCTGGGTGAGAATTAAGGTTCTTTTCTCAATCTTCATCCTTCTTGAGTCCTCTGCAGTCTTTGACACTATCCATCCCCCTTTTCTCCTTGATACTCTCTGCTCCCTAATTTTTGCTAATTTGGTGATCTCCTGGTTATCCTGCTTATCTGACCACTTTTCAGTCTCCTTTGCTGGATCTTCATTCCATGTCATATACACTAATCAGGGGTATCCCCTAAGGCTCTATCATGGGCTCTCTTCTGTTCTCCCTCTATACACTTTCGTTTGGTGATCTCATCAACTGCCATGGATTCAATTATCATCTCTGTATTGATGATTCCCAGATCTACTTATCCAGCCCTAATCTCTCTCCTGAACTCCAGTCTTGCACCTCCAAGGATACTACCATCCTTCCAGTCATACTCGCTCACAATCCTAGGGATCATCCTTGACTCCTCACTCTCTCTCACCACCCCCCATACTTAAACTATTTGCCAAATACTGTCAATCCTACCTTCATAACACCTCTCATATATGCCCCCTTCTGTCTTCTAACACTGCCACCATCTTAGTGCATTTAACACCTCCCCCTTGGACTACTGACATAGACTACTGGATGATCTCCCTGCTTTAACTCTCTCCCCACTCCAGTCCATTCTCCACTCAGCTACCAAATTGATCTTCCTAAAACACAAGTATGACCATGTTATTCTCTCTCTCTCTCTCTCTCTCTCTCTCTTTCTCTCTCTCTCTCTCTCTCTCTCTCTCTCTCTCTCTCTCTCTCTCTCTCTCTCTCTCTCTCTCAATAAACTGACTCCCTATCGCCTCCAGAATCAAATGTAAAATCATCTATTTGCCTTTCAAAACCCTTCATAACCTGGACCCTTCCTATTTTTCCAATCTCTTTACTCCTTACTCCCCTACAGGTACTCCTCAATCCAGTGAGACTGGCTTCCATGATGTTCTTCTCACAAGACAGTCTATCTCCTGACTCCAGGCATTTTCATGGGTTGTCCCCAAGCCTAGAATGCTCTCCTCCTCGTCTCTGTCCTGTGGCTTCCTTCAAGTCCCAGCTAAAATTCCACGTTCTATGAGAAGGCTTTTCCAGTCCCTCTTAATACCTTAGTGCCTTACCCCTGTTGATCATCTCCAATTGATTTTGTCTATATCTTTTTTGCATATAGTTGTTTGCATGTTGCCTCCCCAATTAGACTGCTAGCTCCTTCAGAGCAGGAACCATGTTTTGCCTCTTTATCCCGAGTCTTTAGCAAATATTAGGCACTTAATAAATGCTTGTTCACTAACAGAAACAAGAAACATGGAAGCAGAAGGATTCTTACAGATCATTTTTTCAATCCCAACATTTTACAGATGAGGAAACTGAATCAGTACTAGAAGTTACTTACAAAAAAAATGTCCAAGGGGCAGCTAGGTGGTGCAGTGGATAGAGCATCAGCCTTGGAGTTAGGAGAACCAGAGCTCAAATGTGACCTCAGACACTTGACACTTACTAGCTGTGTGACCCTGGGCAAGTCACTTAACCCCATTACCTAGCCAAAACAACAACAACAACAAAAGGATGTCTAGGTAGTAATAAAGTTCAGAGTCCTCTAGGGCACTTTTCATTGCAGATGGTATGCAGGTGCCTTTCATTAAAATCACTAGTTAATAGTTACAGTGGTGACACTTTGCTTCAGTGCACTCCTCTATCTCCCTCAATCACATGCCATTTTTTTTAATCCTCATCTGCACTGCATTCTCCCTTCTTCACAATGAGAAAAATGAGGAAGGGAAGGATCTGAAATCACTACATGCTTATTAACTATGAAGCAATACACTTGCCTCGAGAGGAAAGACTTAAGCAAGTTACTTAGCTTCACCTATACTCAAGACTCCTCATTTGCAAAACAGGCATGACTCATCTCATCTCACAATTCCTGTAACACTTAAAGGAGATAAGTGCTTGTGAGAAGACTTTACAAATCCAATTCTTTATTATTACTCTTTTTTTCAATTAACAATGTGAGAGGTTGACTTCATGCACCTCTCCTCAGAAACAGCTGTAGCTACATTGAGGGCCTCCCAGAGACTGTTTTGTTGTCATTCTGAATACTTCTAAGAAAATACCATTTTTTAATTAGTATTGTTGTTCTTTCCAAAAGTGCCCTTGAAAACTATTTTTTCTTTTTTGAGGAGAAGCTTGTCTTTGCTTTTGTATGTCCATTTGAAATCACATAAATTATGAGTTTTCATCTTTTCATATTATTAGCCATAAAAAGCTTTTATCTGTATACTCTGCATAACTCTGATAGGGTAATAGAAGTTGTATAGAAACCATTTTTTTTCCCACCTGGAAAATAAAGGTTACCAGTTAATAAACTCAGATTTCACATAGTACAGTATTCTAGCCAATTACAATATTGGCCAAGAAGAAAATGCAGAAATAAATTTGCAGCATGGAATTATGTGAGTGAAACATACTAAAATTCCATCCTTGAAAGACCAATAGAAGGGTACATTTTAATCCTTATGGGGAGATTATACATTTATAACTTTATTACTACATAACCGAAGTTATGTTTATAATTCTCATGTTTCAAAAGACCTGAAAATGTGCCCCAAAAACATGAATTGAAAAATAAGACTAATACATTAATCTTTGGCAGGAGAGGTACTGAAAGCTACGTAGAGTTTTACTATAAAAAGCTGGGAGTGAACAGTCTCTGGAAAATATGAGATTTCTATATGGGACCATTTATAACTAAGTAAATCCAGATTTCCAGATTTTATTTAAGCCAGTTCTAAACAAAATTACATGCAGTCTTAAATGGAAATGTTTTTTCCTATTAGGGCTTATATTTTAATTGTGATATTTGACCCTCTACAAATAAAATAAACCTTGATGAAAAATACGTTTAAAATTTGGCCTTAAAGATAAAATGTTTATAAGACCACCCAATTTTATCAAATATTTTTTCCCTTCCAAATCAAAGCCAACTGTATTCATTAAAACTAATCATTTGTTTACTTGCTTACCGATGGGGGAAAGGGGGCGCGAATTTTGCAATAATTACGGTTTGACATTATGACTCTAAGTGCTTGTCATTTTACACTCATTTGTAATGGAGTACTGTTCTGTTATACAATTTTGACTGTGGGATCTGCTTATGTAAAATTTCAAAAGAAATACTGAATGACATCATCCTGAATGATACTAATAAACTAATACCGTAATTGCACAGGTTTTAAAATACAAAACACCCACACTGACTATCCCACACACTCCCCAACAGACACAGCGACTACGTCCCAGCGCCTCCGCAAACAAACAGCCGCACCTACGCGACCCTCTAAGACACTGCATTCTTTCCATGGGTTAAATATGACACGTGTCCAGCCTCTCACCGGGGAAAACAATCTTACGTCACTGGATAATTTACATAGAGACCACCGATTGGCGCCTAGAAATCATCTTCCTCTCCCAATTGGTTGATGATGCTTCCCCTCTTCTTGAGGATGAGCTTGTGGTGGAAGAGCTAGTGACTCCAGAGGGTCATAGGCGTTTCAATTTCCGCTTCCGGTTCGCCTCAGAAATCATGGCGGCCGCCAGAAGGTTGAGGCCTGTTTTGTGGCTGGGAAGATGGAGCTGCCAGCCTGCAGGAATCCCGTTGTCCCGGGTGAGAACTTTTGTCTTCCCCGCGCATTTCCCCGCTTCAGGGTACTCTGCTTGGTCACATCGGGAAAGCCTTCGAGAGAGAGCCCACCAGCCCCACCCCAGTAAATCAGTGTGTGCGTTTGATCACGTGAAAAGCTGTCATCCCACCAAAGAAAGAGTTATAGACAGGTCGTAGTGGCACAGAGACACGAAGAGCGATGCAGAGTAAAAAGCCAGGGACACAGGATGTGTGGTAGAAAAGGAAAAGGGAAAATGAGAGACAGGAAAGGGAGGGGAAGAGAATGAGAAGCAGGGCATCAGATGTGCAAATACGTGTAGACATGAAAAAATTCAGAAATGGAGGGGGGAGAGGAGGATGAGTAATCCCAGAATCTGTGGCCATGCCCAAATCAGATGCTGGATTTACTTGCAAGGTTGTTATGGCTTCCTGGCCACAATCAGCTTCTAAACCTACCAGTACCTTACATAACATGAAACCCTAGAGAAAAAGTAGCCCCCAAATCAGAATTCATCAGCTCTGCTCATTAAATTCACTTTCACTGACGGTGATGACCTAGTGTAGTAACTTATTAAGAAGTATGTAGTAGTAGACTGAATTCTTGTTTAACTGTGCATCAGATTTGAAGTACCTTCTAATTCTTGAAAGTCTTTGAACCCAACCTTTGGGGAGAGAACCCCACTCCCCAGAGCAAGAGAAACCTCCCTGTCCCTGGAGAAGACTCCTATCTTAAAATAGTAGATTTAGAAGTAGAAGGGATCTTAGAAGATATCTAGTTCAAACCACTGGTTTTACAAATGAAGAAATCTCTTAAGGTTTAAAGTTTACAGGTATTAAGTGACAGGTGTGAGATTCAAACTCTGATTGTGTTGATTGTAAAACCAGCATATCTTCTACTGCACCATGTTGCCATCCCTGTTCTGCCTTCATCTACAACATTCTCTCTTGACTAGCTGTTTAATAAATTACATGTTAATTGAATTCAGTCTCAATCTGTGACACCCAAAGTTATTCATTCTCAAATTAAATAATATACATAGAGCATTCTGCAAAACCTTAAAGTATTTTTTTTAATTTTAGGCGATTGGGGTTAAGTGACTTGCCCAGGGTCACACTGCTAGTGTCAAGTGTTTAGTCTGAGGTCAGATTTGAACTCAGGTCCTCCTGACTTCAGGGCCGGTGCTCTATCCACTGCACCACCTAGCTGCCCCCAAACCTTAAAGTATTTTTTTAAAAATGAGCTATTATTACCCAGATTTCTTCATACACTAACTTACCTCGTCCAGTTTTCCTCTTTCTGGAACTCAGGCACTTGCTGACCTTATTCCCAGAGCGTCCCAGGAGAATGATATATTAAATTTCCTGGGGAACAGACCACATCGTAAGCACCCAGGCATCTTACAGTTGCCCCAAGTGCAGCTACCACAGGCCCTGGTCACTGCAGCCCAACAACTCGTGCAGGGTGAGTAGCTCTCTTGATCAAGGAAATAAATAGAGAAAAGAAAGGAATCTTCATTTAAATGCTTTGAATATCTGTTGTTTGCAACGTATTTCTGTGCATATTGTTGTTATGTGTGTTGATTAAAAATGTATTTGAAAAGGAGGGGAAAAAAAGCAAAATCCTTTTCATCTCTGGCCCACAGAAAGCTCTATACCCAACATAGAGGAGCAGGTTCAGACACTCACCAACTACCTGTGGAGTCGGAAGCTTCCTACAGAACCTGAGGAGCTGCGCAAAAAAGCAATACAGCTGAAAAATAAACTCCAGGATACAGGTAAAGGCTAAGATGGGCCGAAGGAAGAAGCCAAGTTAGACTAATTAAGAAGAGAGCAAAGGTTAGTTTTTAAATCAACTTTGCAGACAAATATATCAATTTTCCAATATGTCTTTGATCAAATCAGTCATAAATAGCACTTAACAACTAAAAGCTAGACGGATCTGTAAGATGGGAATAATAATACTTATGTTACTTATCGCAAGTTTTTTCTGAAGACCTAATGAGAAAATATATTTGCAAAACACTTTACAAATGATAAACATATGTAAATGTCAGCTATTATTATACATCTTTGATTCTGTTGTACAGCACATACCTGGGTATGCCTGGATACCCAGACCTTTCTCATTTCCTCTAGAATCATCTGGGTCAGGAATGATCAAGAAATGTGTTGGACCTTCCTAGGTTGTACTGTAGAATGAAATCCCACCCACACACATTCCTCTGTCATACCCTTGGCCTAACCTAGATTTGACCATGTTCCAGTAGTATTTTCACACAATTATGACATTCTTAATATCCCACCACACTTTCCTTCAGGACAAATGCAGAAGGAAGTATCAGTGACTTCAGACTTGAATTGTGATCTGCCATACATTGATACTTGCCTCAGTTTTGGATGAGCAGTCATTTCTTTTCAATTAATTAATTTTGTGAGCATTAGCTCTCCCATTTCTCACACTCCGTTATTGAACATTTTTTTTTAATTCTCATGATGACTATGCAGAGCCCAGCAAAACAAATCCCCACATTGGCTAAAGTCAAAAATGTATATCTCGTTTACATTTTACATCCATCAACTCTGGCGAGAGGCGGGTGATTTGTTTCATCTTTTCTCCTGTAGACTCATGATTTATCATTGCATTAGAGTTCTAAAGTCTTTCAAAGTTATTTTTCTATACAATGTTCTTGTTATATAAATTGTTCTAGTTTTGCTTACATTGCTCTGCATCAATTCATAGAGCTTTTCCCATTTTCTTCTAAAACTGTCCGTTTTGTCAGTTCTTATGGCATAATAATATTCCATTACATTCATGTACTATACTTTGTTTATTATTGTTGTTCAATCACTCCTGACTCTTCATGACACCATTTGGGATTTTCTTGGGAAAGAGACTAATGTGGTTTACCATTTCTTTTTCCAGCTTATTTTACAGATGAGGAACTGAGGCAAACAGGGTTAAATGACTTGCCCAAGGTCACACAGCTAATAAATGTCTGAGGCCAGATTTGAACTCAGGAAGATGAGTGTTCCTAATTTCAGGCCTGGCACTCTATCCACTGCACCACATAGTGGCCCATTATTTGTTTAGCTATTCTCTAATAGGTGGTCACCCCTTTAGTTTGTTTGAGACTATGAGTAGCTATTACTGAGACCACTTGTAAGTAACTTTGCAGATTGCACTGGACTTCACAGACCCAGGGCTAGGAAGAAGTGTTGCAAAAGAACGAGGAAGTTCCTGATCAAAGGAGTTTCCATTATCCTGTCATCCAGGCCCCCAGTACTCATCACATTTACACAGAAGCAAAACTGAATTAGTGATAGATGTCATAAGGGCCAACTAGGGAAAATGAGCTTTTGGAGAAAGACTAATGCTTTGGCTAAATTATTGTCCTGATGACACAGAACATGTCTTTCACTTTTATGTAATATTTTTCTGTAGCTTTAGACTAGAAGCCTCCTGGCTTTTAAGTCCCTGCTGGAAAAAACAAGGGCTAAGGGTATTCCCATACTAGGTGCTAGGTTTCATCTTGCTGGTTCTTCAACTCTAGGCTTTGCTTTGCTTTTTCCTCCCAGAGTCAATACAGTCAGAGAAACAGCTTCGTGGAGCTGTGTTGAGTGCCCTACGCAAAACTACCTACCACTGGCAAAAACTGAGGTAAAGAAATTATCCCAGGGCAGTGGGGGTTAGTGGGGAGGGGTTTGTCATAAAAATCAGAAAGATCAGAAAGATCCCCTGATGAACTGAAAAAAGAAAGGATGGTCATCATTTGCTTGCCTTCTCAATGAGTAAGGGAGGGACTAGAGGGAGGGAGAGAATTTGGAACTCAAAAAAATTTTTAATGTTTAAAAGATTTTTTAAATGAATAAATAATTTTTAAATGTTTTAAAACATGATGAAATGGATAATTCAGAGGAAATTGAGAGGACATTTATGTTTTGATGCAGAGCAAAAATAAGCAGAACCAACAGAACAATTTATACAATAATAACAAAAATATAGAGAAAAGGCTTTGCTAGATTTTAGATCTCTTATCAATGAAAACAATAAACAATCAGTTCAAAAGGATGATGAAACACACCTCTTAACTTCTTAATAGAGAAGTGACAAACTGAAAATGAAGCGACATATGTATTTGGACGTGGCTAATGTGGGAATTTGTTTTGCTGTGCTATGTAGCTGTATACTGAGGGATATGTTATTTTTGTTTTGTTGTGTTTTGCTCAGTTGGTGGGAGTAGTGGGAGAGACAAATTAATTTTGAAAGACTGTTAAGTGAAAAAATAAAAATAAACTAAAAAGGAAAAAAAAAGATCTTTCAGGACTTGCAGGGGAGAGAGGAAAGGAAAGGAATGAAAAGTCCTCTTAGTAGCTGTATCAAGTTGGTTAAATGTAAATTTTAAATTATCCCTGTTTAATACTGTTTAGAACCAAAATTTAAGGTCTCAGAAATATTTCTATTTCACTCTGATTCTGAAAAGACAGAGGTATGAAGGGCCTTTTTCTGTGGCCTGCCCCATTTCCCATCTTAACAGAAGTGGTTTTGGGTTGTGGAGGCCCATTCCTTTACTCATGCAACAAACAGTTATTAAAGCTGTTATATGCAGTGCACTGTTCTAAGTACTATGGGGAAGTTCAAAGGTAAATTAAATTCAATTATTAGAGATACTTATAGAAATTATAAGATTTGTGCACAAGTAGCTATAATAAAAATGTAAATATGCTGAGAACACAAGAAAAGTACAAATAGATGATGAATTCAGACAAAGAAGCAATAACTACAGACTGGGCAAATCAAAGAAAACTTGGCAGAACAGATAGCATTTGAGCTGGGCCTTGAAGGGGCAGGATTTCAACATTCAGCAATGGGAGGGAGACTCTTCTAAGCGTAAGAAAGAGAAGGGGACAGCTAGGAGGTGCAGTGGATAGAGCTCTGGCCTTGGAGTCAGGACGACCTGAGTTCAAATCTGGCTTCAGACACTTGATACTTACTAGCTGTGTGACTCTGGACAAGTCACTTAACCCCAACTGCCTCACCCCCCAAAAAAAGAAAAAGAAAGAAAAAGAAATAGAAGAGCTGTGGCATAAAGGTAAGAAATCAAGGAACATCTTCTGAGTTCAGTGAACAGGCTTATCCAGCTAGAGTCTAGAGTACCTGAGGGGTAAAATGTGATATTATCTTGGATATGTAGATTGGAAACAGATGCTAGAAGGCTTTGAATGACAATCTGAAGAGAATAATAATAATAATGACAGTAACAACTGACATTCATATTGCTTAAAGATTTGCAAATTGCTCTATACATGCTATGTCATTAATTCTTCACAAGAACCCTATGAGGTAGGTGCTGTTATTATCCCCATTTTATAGTAAAGGAACCTGAGAATAAGAGGATAAATAATTTCCCTAGAGCCACACAACTAGTAAGTGTCTGAGATAGAATTTGAACTAAGGTCTTCTTTACACCAGATCTAGTGCACTCTCCCACCATACCTGGGTGCTTCCCGTAGATATCAGTGTGTAATTGTTGAAGGTTTTTGAGTATAAGGTGCCATAATGTAAGCTCTGCTTTAGAAAAAATGAATCTGGAAGCACTAAGATGAACTGAAATAGAATAGGGGTTAAAAGGTAACTTAGAGGTTTTGGCAGTAATCCACTTGAGACATAATAAAGTTATATATAACCTAGGAATAGAGGCTGTAAGAATTATAATCGATTGGATGCTGTGAGGCTAGAAATCTATAGGATTTGACAGATAATTATACATACCTGGTTTCTTTGGCAGTTATGACGAAAGGCTGAGCTTGGTGTACATGGCAGCACGACTAGATGGTGTCTTTGCAGCTATATCCAGAGCTTTCCATGAGGTAAAGCCCCTTAGCTTCTAATTCAAAAGGATTCCAGAGGTATACACAAACTTTCAAAGACCTCAAACCTAGCTTCTTTCCTAGTCCTATATTCTGAGTAATCTCTAGCAAGACCCCAAGTCATTCCTGGCATCCCACCTTGGGTGTTACTTTCTGTTTCTTCAGATCCAAGCTCGTGTTCCAGACTTTAAGCCACAAACTTTAATGGATTTTGGCTCAGGTACCGGTGCTGTTACTTGGTGAGTGACTCGAGTTAGCATGAGCCCCACCGTTTCCAGCCTAAAAAAACCCTGTCTGTACCATTCCACAGCCAAGAAACTAGTAGATTCTAGAGTATAGTGAAGTTAAGGATTAGGCATTGGTGTCATCCATATTTTGCTTTTAATTAATTTCTAGATAGGAGCTTAGGAAAGGAAGCATGGAAAGGATTCTTAGAAGCATGGTGAATGGATCAGGGTTTGGGAAGTAAATAAGGGCTGCACTTGGAAAAGGGAGGAGAGAATATAACATCAAGGGTAGGGTCCTGTATGTCAATTTCTAGTGAGCAAACATTTTTCTGAATCCATTGCTCTCCATCCATCCAGAAGGTGCAGAGAAATTAGTAGAAATGACACCGTTAGTTTTTAACCTTTATCTGACATAGCTCACTAGTATACTTAGGAGAGTATCTATTAGCAGTGCTCTGTTTAAGAACTCTGTCTCTTAGATCTTTTAGGTTGTCCTCCTGTCTTCACAGGGCTGCTTATAGTACCTGGGGCCAGAGCCTTCGTGAATATTTGTGTGTGGACAGCTCAGCTGCCATGTTGGCCTTGGCAGAAAGGCTTCTGAAAGGTGAGGGTAAGGCAGTGGTTGTTGAAATGATCTACAAATGATAAAAGCAAAGGATTAGGTAGAGGAGGTTGTAATAAAGTGAAGAAGGAGAATTAGATTTCCCATTCCTTAAAAAAAAAAAAAGATTCTCATAAAAGATCAGACTGGTCCGATTCCCTTCTGTATTTTCCTTAAATATAGGCAAAGGGTAGAATCCTTTGCTGAGTGGAGAATGGGCTGGATGGAGTCAAAACAAGAGAAGGAACTCTTTTCTCATTCTGCTCTTCCCATGCCTTTCCTTCTTCATCCCATCTCATACTTAGTAGCTTTTTTTGTGTATTCTTGGGGCCTTTGCTCTCTGTTTAGATGTCCCTTCTCTCCTCTGCCCCCCAAGTACATAGACACACTTTAACCAATTCTCTTCTTTGTTCCCCAGGTGGCTTAGATTCTGGGAAACCCCATGTTCCAGGAGTCTTTTTTAGACAGTTTCTCCCAGTCTCACCAAAGGCAAGTGCTCACTTGCCTCACTGCGCTGGAAGAGGGATAGGCACGTGGAGAATTTCAGTATTGACTTTAGGGCACAGCCTGAGTGTTTGGCAGTGGGTGGAAACAAAGCACAAGGAAAGTAGAAGTTGGGGGAGGCCCTCAGAGATGGAGAGAATTCTGTCTAAAATGTCCCTTGTCTTGATTCCCAGATACAATTTGATGTGGTAGTGTCTGCTTTCTCTGTAAGTGAGTTACCCAGCATGGCTGATCGAACCGAAGTCATCCAAACTTTATGGCGTAAGACAGGCCAGTTCCTGGTAAGCTGAGATCTCCCTTCACCTGTCAATAAAGCCCTTAGGGGTCCAGCCTTTCGTGTGCGAAATATCCCCCATCCTTAAAAGACCTTCATCAGGCACTACCATACCCTGAAACTTCTACCTCTATTTCTTTTCTCAGCCAAACCCCTTGAAAACTGTCTATATTCATTGCCTTCATTTTCAGTGCTTCCATTCTCTTCTAAACCCTCTGCAGTCTGACTTCCAACCTCATCACTGGACTGAAATTACGCTTTCCAAAGTATAACTAATGACCTCTTGATTGCCAAATCTTATGGCCTTTTCTCAGTCTTCATCCTTCTCAACCTCCCTGCATCATGACACTGTTCTCCTTTTGTGGGTTTTCATGACATTGTACCTTTTTGCTTCTCATCTTGCCTCAGTCTCCTTTGCTAGAACATCATTTACAAGAAACCCCTTAGCTATGGGTGTACCACAAAGCTCTTTCCTGTGCCCTTTTCTTTTCTTTCTCTATACTCTTTCTCTTAGTGAACTCATCCACTCCCATGGCTTTAATTATCAGCTCTAAACTGATGACGCCAGCCAAGGTCTATAATTCTAGCCCTACTCTCTAGCTTGAACACTAGTCTTTTACTAGTCAACAAACATTTATTAAGTGCTAATTATGTACCAGGCACTGTGATAAGCACTGGGAATACAAACACATCCCCTGCTCTCAAGGAGTTTACATTCTAATTAGGGAAGACAGTACGTAATTAAAAAAAAAAAAGAAGCTGAAAAAAATTAGGATTAGGGAGGTAGGTTGTTCGTTAAAACATGGCATGGTGGAGAAATTCTGGAGTATAGCCTGGAGAGGGATGAGACATAGCTGACCTGGGCACCCTTCTTAAATGGAGGTTCTATGAGGAGCTATCCAATTAGGAAGAGATCACAGTAATGGAAGGGTCCTTCCAGCGTGCGAATTCCAGGGCATTTGTCACCAGTTGCCTATAGGACATTTCATCCTGGGTATACTATAGACATCTCAAACTTATCATGCCCAGAACTGAACTCATTATCTTCCTCCCTTACCCCCCACCTGCGTCCTCTTCAGAAAGTCCTTAGTTCTGTCAGGAATACCACCTAGCACCATAGAGAAGCAGCATGGTATAGTGGGAAAAATGCTGGGTTTGAATTCTGCCTCAGCCATTTCTTACCTCAGTGGCTTGGAGCAAGTTTCTTAACCTCTCTCTTCCTGTTTCTTTATCTATAAATGAAGGAATTGGAGTAGATGGCTTCTAACACCCCTTCCACCTCACTATAGTTGTTTGATCCTTCTAGTCACCCAGGTTCACATCTTCAATGTAATCCTTACCTTCTCTCACTCACCCCTCCACACACACATACACATACATACATATGTACATACATACATACATACATACAGGTAGCTGCAAAATGTTGTCTGTTTTACAGCATCTCACATCTCTCCTGTGTCCTCCATTCACACAGCCACCACCACTGGTTGCCCCATACCTGAAATGACCTCACTTACCTATTTCAGCATCCCTAGCTGTTGCTGTTGTTGTTTCAGATATCAGTTCAAATACCATTTTTTATGAGAGGTGCCACTTTTCCTCAGTATCAACTTATGTCTCTTTTATATGTTTTATATATACTTATATGGCTATCTGTTAGTTTTCCCTGCTAAGCTACTTGAGAACAAGGACCTTTTTCATTTTTGTCTTTGTATCCCTATGTCTAATTTACAGTTGCCTTTTATTAAAGGGTTATTGATTAATCCGCCCTTTTTCTTCTTCACAGTTCTTTATCCTTGTTTAAGGGTCCTTAATGGCCTCTCTTTTGTGGTCTCCATCCTTCTTCTTACCTTTTAGAAGGGAGATAACTAGAATGGGGTTCTTATCTTTGCTTCTTTCTACAGAATTTCTTTTATCGATACCTCCAATCCTTATCTTCAATTTCTTCCACAGGTTTTGGTGGAGAATGGAACAAAAACTGGACATCATCTCCTCATGGAGGCTAGGGACCTCGTCCTTAGAGTGAGGTTCTTCTCTACCCTACCGTGCTTTCTCAGAGCTGACATTACCTTGAAAACTGGGAATGCTCAACTTTATATTGAAAATGACTCCCAGTTTACTAAGCATATTGTCCTGGGTCAGAATGACTTTCCATCTGAGGATCGAGTGAACCAAGGACTGTAGGTTTCTGAAACATTGAGGGTATAGGAGCTAGTATCTCTGTACTGTAAAATCAGGGGGCCCTGAGTGACTGACCCAAAGTCGCCGCTGGAGTCTGAGCCTCCTGGGCTGTACACCAGTAGTTTAAAAAGGTAGAATTTGCTGGTAAGTATATGAGAGTGACTTGATCATCCCATCCTGCACACTGAGTTATACTGTCCTCCTCATGCTTCACGTATGCCTTAAGGTACTAGTAGTGGTCATCTAAATTGACATAGATTGCATGTCTAATGACTGAAGGAGGGCTGGTGAAGGACGCTTTAGGTGGGAAAGCATAATGACTAAACTGGGAGGTGGGATGGGTGAGAGGGTCTCTCAACCGTTGATATATATTTTTTTTCTTTTTTTGGGGGGTGGCTTCAGGGACCAGAGAAATCTCCCTTAGACTGTCGACCTGGACATGTCTTCGCTCCAGTGAGTATTCTTCCTTGATTGAACCAGTAGAAATCATTCTGGGCTCAGCTATGGCCAGGAAAGGTGACAGAAGGAAGACTAACCTATTCGTTTATCCTACCTTCCATCTGTTTACCTTATCTACACTCATAGTTCCACTGTCTTTACCCCATTCTGCAGTTCTGTCTTACCTCACTGTCTTCTGATTTCTCTAACCTTCATTACTTCTTTTTTTTTTTCTACAGTGCCCTCATGAACTTCCCTGCCCCAAGGTATCTGCTTCCCAGCCCCAGGCCTGCAGCTTCTCCCAAGTATACAGCACCATCCCTTTTAGTTGGGTAAGCATACTGATAGAGGGTAGGGTAAGGTAGTACCTGAAGCAGAATTAAAGTGAGGAGCCAAATGATCTGGTCTGTGGAAGGAGAAAGGACTTTAAGGGTCAGGCCTGAAAGTAAATAAAATCTCCTTCCTTCCTTCCTTCCTTCCTTCCTTTCTTTCTTTCTTTCTTCCTTTCTTCCTTTCTTCCTTTCTGTATTTAATCATTCATGTATGTATGTATGTGAGGCTATTGAGGTTAAGTGACTTGCCCTCAGTCACACAGCTAGTGAGTGTTATGTGTCTGAGGCCAGATTTGAACTCAGGTTCTCCTGACTCCAGGGCCGGTGCTCTATCCACTGCGCCACCTAGCTGCCCCCCAAGTCTTCTTTATTTTTAACTTTTTCCCCTAATCATCTTTCCTGTCCTTACTTCAGAATCATAGTCATAAGGAAGAGAAGTTCTCTCTGGTGATCCTAAGCCGGGGCCTTCACAGGGAGGATCATCATTGGGCCCGTCTCACCCAGCCTGTCCTTAAACGGCCACGCCATGTGCATTGCCACTTGTGCTGCCCAGATGGGCATGTCCGACATGTTGTGGTTACTGCCCGACGACATGGCAGGTACAGGGGACATGAGGAACTGGCGGGGAGGAAGGGGTATACAACTCACATGGATGTTTAAGGGGACAGGGAAGCTGTATTGAAGTGTCTCTCCTTTTCTTCTTCGTAGACACTTATATCGCTGTGCTCGTGCTAGTGCCTGGGGAGATCGCTTGCCTTTGACCACTTCATCTGAGTCTCCTCCATCCCCTATTCAAGATCCTTCTGACAACTGACAAGAGATCTTAGAAGTATTTGGCTGACACCTTCCAGTTTTTGCCATCCTTGCCAAAAATGAAGCATCCAGGGATGGATGATAGGGGTACCAAGTACCCTCTGACTTTTGAATTGAATAAAATTTTTTTAATAGAAAAAAAGATTTCCTTCATTGAAGTTTTGATCTACCATTATAAGATTTAATTCCAGGGCTGTTTGTATTTCCACCTAGTCCTTAGTCCATCCTAATATTGCCCCTTATATGAGAATTACTACTTACTGAGGGAAGCCTGTTTGGGAGTAGTGGGAAAACTGGATGACAAGAGCCACCTCCAGCTCTTCTGAAAACTGGCTCAACAGGTCTTAATGTAGCTCTTTGGGTAGCCTGCCTAGGGAAACCAGCAACCACCTTTTCTGTCCTTTCTCCCTTCTTCCCTTCTCCCATTGCCCCTCCTAAGGTTCTTCAACCAGATCAGAGCTTTCCTTAGCTGTCTCACTTAGACTTGAACCCAAGTTAAGAGTCAGGGCTCAATCCTTTCTCAAGCTCCACTCCAACATTCTCCAAGCTGGTACATTTTACTCTAATTGGTTAAAATCTCCATTATTCCCTGGCTTCATTAAATCTCAGGACCAGCTATTACCTTTACCTTGAGGTTCATAACCACTTAGGTTACCTTAGCCCCGCCCCCCCCAAATTTAGTACAGGAAGAGGTAGGGATAGTGTTAATACAGTGATTCTATAAGTCTTGTGTTGTTCTCCCTCCCCCCCCCAAAAAGAAAAATTCATTCTGTGCTGGGAGTTCACTGTCTGGAGTTGCAGGTAAGGGGACTGGACCTCTCAGTTCCCACAGCATGGCAGCATGGCAAAACAAAGCCCTAGCCCCACCTTCTTTTGCCCCAACTGGCCCCAAATCCCCTTTGAAAGGGTGCAGTTCAGGTATCAGATACGGCAGCCTACAAAGCAAGGGGATTGAGTAAAAGAACGGATGGTTTGGATTGAGTATCCAGAGCAAGGAAAGACCAGGCTTTTGTCCCCAGTGAGAAGGGGGTAGGGGCTACTCGGCCATAGAGCATGCCATCTCCCATTAGGTTAACCCTAGAGGTGAGCTCATATGGTTCTTTGTCAACCTAAGGATTAGTCAGCCACGAGGAGGAGGAGAGACATGCAGCTCTGGGTAGTGTCTGCCAGGGAGTCTGGAGTTCCTGGTTACTGAGCCGAAGAGGGTGTGAGTCTGGGGAGGGGCCCTGATTGGGGCTAGGGGGAAGACAGAGGCAGCGCCCCGGTCAGAGTAAGCAGAGGCAGCACACATCGGCCAGGTGAAGGAACACGACAGCTTCTAACTCTCCTGCCCTGAAGACCTACTCTCTTACCACCCTGGGGCCTTGACTCAACATCCCCCCCAGGGATGGAGCTACTTGTGGGCGTGAAAATTGGCTGCCTGCTAGCCCTGCTGACTCTCACTCTGTTCTGTGGCATTATTCCTGTCTGCTTCAGATGGTTCCGGATCCATGCAGCCACAGGTATAGCTCTAACCCCACCTTTGTCCATATATCATAAGCTCCTTTTCTCACCTCAACCCCTCCTTTCACCTTGGCCCCTGATTTGCCTCCACTTCTAATCCAGAACCCCGGCTCATGTGTGTTTCCTCTTGTAGGTTCAGATTCTCAGACCCCTACTCTTTAGCCATCTCTGTCTACCTTCCTTGAAATGCCAACTAAGAAATTACCTCTGTCTCATTTGGCCCTTTGCCTCAGCAGGGAAGCACCGCCGGATCCTCACCCTCCTAGGTTGTATATCAGCAGGAGTGTTTTTGGGAGCAGGGCTTATGCACATGACAGCTGAGGCCCTGGAGGGCATTGATTCAGAGATCCAGAGCTACTTCCTTCAGGTGAGGGGCTGGGATGCTGAGCTTTAAGGATGCGTGGCACCTGGGGGAAGGACAAAAATAAGTTTACGAGAAGAAGACAGAAAGGGCCCAGAGTATGGAATGAAGTTGTATGAAGGGCAGCTCCTGGGAGTGGGTAGAGTAGGGAGAGGTGGGCCGGGGCTTCCACTTTTTAAGGAAGATGGAACTTGAGCAAGACAGCAGGAATCTGAACCACTTTCCCTTCTAATTCACACACTCTCCTTCCCAGAACAGGACGAGAAATGAGGGAAATTCTTCTGACACCACTGATTCAACTGATGTGAGTTTCCCCTAGCCAGGCCTGTACCTGAGAAGTCAGGAGGGCCAGAGATTCCTTCCCCATTCAGGCCCCTCTTGGGGGTATGTGAGGAATGATAAACATTCCTTCTCCTCCCCAGCCTCCTTTCCTAGCCTCAAACTTTGAAACTAGAAAGAAGTCATTCCATACATTGAGTTTAGGGGACATGTGTCCTTCCCCTCCTTGTAACCCTGTTCTCTGGATCTTACTCTTCTATGTATGATCCTTTCCCACATCCTTATCCTTGCTGTCATGATTGACTGATGTTCTTCCTTTCAAGTCTTCTGTCCCTGTCTCTAACACCATTCCCATGCCCAAGGCTTCTTCTCCCACCACATTTTCTTCACATCATTTTCTTTCCTTTCTGCCCTCTTTCTTCTCTTCTCACCTCATTATTTCTTCTCTCTGTCTCTAGGTGGATTACCCGTTTGGGGAGCTCATCATCTCCCTAGGCTTCTTCTTGGTCTTCCTGTTGGAGTCACTGGCACTGCAGTGGTTTCCTAGTGGTACCAGGGGGTCAAAAACATGTGAGGAGGAATGGGGTGGGGCCCATGCTGCCCATTCCTCAACCTTTCACAGTCATGGACCCCTGCCATCACCCTCTCAGAGGCCCTTTAGGGCTCTCGTTCTCTTGCTTTCACTCTCCTTTCACTCAGTGTTTGAGGGACTGGCTGTGGGGCTGCAGTCTTCAGTACCAGCTGTGCTGCAGCTTTGCCTGGCTGTCCTGGCACACAAGGGATTAGTGGTATTTGGGGTGGGACTTCGACTGGTGCAGTCAGGCACGGGGCAACGATGGGCCCTGATCTCCATCTTGGCATTGGCCCTCATGTCCCCCCTTGGCCTAGCTTTGGGGATGGCTGTGGTTGGGGAAAATTCTGAGGGGGGAAGGGCCTTAGCCCAGGCTGTATTAGAAGGTGTGGCAGCTGGCACTTTCCTCTATGTAACCTTCTTTGAAATTCTTCCCCGGGAACTGGCCACCCCTGAATCCCCTCTAGCAAAATGGGGTTGTGTGGCAGCTGGTTTTGCCTTCATGGCCATAATTGCCATCTGGGCATGAATTATCCCCCACTCCAAGAGATTGTCCTTATCCAGGTAACTAGCCTGAGTGAACATCCCCCTCTGAGCTGGCCCTACTCCTGAGACATTTTTATTGAGCCTTCATGCCATGCATCCAGCACCATCCTCATAACTGGATTCTAAACTTCCTTTGCAGGGTCTTTGCTTGGGTCACCCAGCTCTGAAGCAGGAAAGAGCTTAGGGTGGCAGGTAGAAAGCGAGGGGGTGGGGCGCGGCAGAGAAAGGGAGGGCAGGAGAAGGAAGATGGACCTTTTCTGCCTATTGCCCTAGACTTGGATATCAGCACCACCTACGGTACCGTGTGTAAATAAACGTCAGTCCTCCTTCCACTTCGTTTTAGCCTCTGTGTTTCTGACTTCCCTGCTGGACATTAGGGCAGGCTGATGTAGCAGGTAAGGGAGGGTGGGAGAGGACAGTAGGGCCAGAACTACAATACGGCCTCTTCCTGGGTTAGGCCCTAGCCTTTTCACTACACATTGGCAGATGAAGCTGGTTGTGGAGGCGTGAATTGCTGAGATTCCAGGGATCCCCTTCATCCTCCCTTCTCTCCTCAATGGTACTAGCAACAAACAAGCAGAGAGAGCTGAACAGAACCCAAGGACCCCCTCCCCACCCCCACCCCCCCCACCCCCGCCAGTCATCCTTGCACGTCTCAGGACACATTAATCCTGTTTCTCACACTGAGCCTGGTGTTCTTTAAACCCAGGCCCCTTTATTGCTCCCTAGTGCTGAAGAATTAAGATTCAGTGTGTTTAGGAAGGAAGAAAGGCGCCAGATAAATGCCTGCATGAACCACAGCTCAGCCCTAGCCTCCACACCGATGCTGTCACTGCACTCCTCCCCCAGACTGCTTGCCTTTCATCTTGAATCTTCCTTGCTGTTCCTATCTCCTCCTCAAATGCCAGCAAACAAACTAGTTTCTCTAGGATCAGGAAGGGGAAAGGTTGCAATGCTCTTTTGGCAGGGGTGCTAGAATGGAGATGTCCTGGAGTTTAGATGAAATATCTAGGGAAATGAGTATGTGCAATCCCCTACCTCAGATTTTCATTATCGGAGAATTAAGGAAAGGGAGGAGGGAGTTGGAGACTGCTATATCACATTCTCGGATCTGCTCTTATCTGGTTTCTCTAACTCCTGCTCATCCTGTTTCCCTTAATACCACATAAATCATCCAGATCTGTGAATAAGCCTAATCCTAATACCAGAAGTTAGACTTTAGAAAAGTATCTTAAAGGAAATTAACTTCTACAATCTTAATTCTAACTTATTCCTGTGCCCCCCTCCCTATAACCTCAGTGACCTTATTCTTTATGCGTGGAGGAGATGGGAGTAGGCTAGGGAACTGGTTTGTTCTAGAGGCATGGGAAGAAGGTGTCTCCAGATGTTGGAGCAATGAGATGACTTTCGGGCAGAAGTAGAGCACCATGTTTCTGGGTCACTGATGAATATGAAGCAATGTGAAGTGGAGGCAGGGTTCTTCAGGCATGATTAATACCATTCTCTTTTCCAGAATCTTTTCTAACCCAGTGTACCACCATTCTCTTCCTCATTACTATCTCTTCATCCTTGGGATTCTCCCCACTCTGAGGAATCTAGGAGTCACCTTGATCCTGAAATATACTTTCTCTAGAGCCAGAATAACACTAAAGAACAAACTTTCTGAAGATAAACAGAAACAATAGGGGTAATGTAAAAAGGATGAGATTGTAGGGAGGCAACATGCTTTTCATTATCCCCAGCAATAATGGGAAAGGAAGCTTGAGCACTGTGCAAAGATACTAAAGATGTAGAGAAGAAATGTATTTTCTTGATCCAACCATTTTGGAGAGCAATCTGGAACTATGCCCAAAGGGCTATAAAAATGTGCATACTCGGGGCAGCTAGGTGGTGCAGTGGATAGAGCGCTAGCCTTGGAGTCAGGGGGACCTGAGTTCAAATTCAGCCTTGGACACTTGACACTAGCTGTGTGACCCTGGGCAAGTCACTTAACCCCATTGCCTAGCCAAAAAAAAAAGAAAAAAATGTGCATACCCTTTGACTCAGCAATAGCACTTTCTAGGTCTGTGTCCCAAAGAGATCATAAAAAAGGGAAAAATACCCACATTTACAAAAATATTTATAGCAGCTCTTTCTGTGGTGGCAAAGAATTGGATATTGAGAGTATGCCTATCAATTAGGGAATGGCTGAACAAGTTGTGGTATATGAATGTAATGGAATAATATTGTGCTATAAGAAATGATAAGCAGATGGACTTTGGAAAAACCTGGAAAGACTTGTAGGGACTGATGCTAAGTGAAGTGAGCAGAACCAGGAGAACGCTGTACACAGTAACAGCCACATTGTGTGATGACTAACTTTGACAGACTTAACCCTTCTCAGCAATGCAAGGATCTAAGACATCTCCAAAAGTCTCATGATGGAAAATGCTATCCACATCCAGAAAAAGAACTATGTAGTTAGAATGCAGATTGAAGCACACTATTTGCTCTTTTTTTCTCTTGTTTTGTTTCGTTTCCTCTTTTTTTGTGGTTCCTCCTATTAGTTCTAATTCTTCTTTACAACATGACTAATGTGAAAATATGTTTAATAGGAATGTATATGTAGAGCCTATATCAGATTGCACACTGTCTTAGGGAGGAGAAAAATTTAAAACTCAAAAGTGTATGGAAGCAATTGGTTTTTTTCTTTTTTTTTATTTAAATTTGTTTATTTTTTCCATATGCTTTTGAGTTGAAAATTTTTCTCCCTTTTCCTCCCCCTCACCCTCCCCAAGACAGCGCACAATCTGATACAGGCTTTACATTTACATACCCATTAAATATATTTTCACATCAGTGAAGTTGTAAGTAAAAATTAAAACCAATACAAGGAACCACCAGAAAGATGAAACAAAACTCAACAGAAGGTAAAAATAAGTGATAGTGATTCAACTTCCATAGTTCTTTCTTTGGATATGAACAGCATTATCCATCCCGAGGCCTCTGGAAATGTCTTAGATCCTCATAATGCTGAGAAAGGTTCAGTTTAACAATCTTAGTCATTACATAACGTGGCTGTTACTGGGGTACAAAGTCCTCTTGGTTATGCTCACTTCACTCAGCATGGAAGCAATTGTTGAAAACTAAAAATAAATTAATTTTAAAAATAAAGTAAAATTTTTTAAAAAGAAACATATTTTGGGGCAACTAGGTGGCACAGTGAATAGAGCTCTGGCCTTGGAGTCAGGAGGACCTGAGTTCAAATCCAGCCTCAGACATTTAACACTTACTAGTTGTGTGACCCTGGGCAAGTCACTTTACCCCAATTGCCTCACCAAAAAGCAAAAAAAAAAAAGAAACATATTTTCTTATTTTTTAATGAGTTGGGAATGTCAAATACAATCTAACCTGAGGAGAACATAGGCCTGAGGAACAACCCAGTGATGGAGGTTGAAATAGCAGATCCTGAACTCAGCGATAGGCCTTATCCTAGAAAGAGGAGAGAATCCAAGGTCCATGTTCCATCTGAAATGGGGTTTGGGAGAGAAAAAAGATCAGTTTTCATCCAAAGCTATTGAAGATTAATAGCCAAGGATTGAGTTGCAAAGTGATTTACTAAGTGGGGAAAAGGAAGGTCTCAGTTGCTCAAAGAGAGTTTTTAATAGTCAAACTAGTCAATAGTCAATTAAGGTGACAGTGACAGAGCCACAAGAAGAAATTAAAATGGGGAGGGAGGGCAACAATATGCACACTTTATGCCAAATATGGCTTTATGGCTTTAGGAAGCCAATGTCTTATACTTCCCATTCCCCTTTTTTTTCAAAAAGCCAACAGTTTGATCTAAAGATGTAACCATCTGAGTTTTAATTATAAATTTCAGTACTGGAAGAAACTTCAGTTGTAATTTAACACAATTTGCTCATTACCAAGACCCCCCTACAACACACCTAATAAGTAGTCATCTAACTTCCACTTAAAGTCTTCCAGTTAGTAAAGGGGTGGGGTCCTGACATTTATTCCATGACCTCACACAGCTCCCAGCCAGATGGAAATGCCATGACTTCCTGTCTTGAGAATTGCCATTCCTGGCCAGTATTTCATACTGCTAACCCTTAGTGGGGGGTTTTCTAGTGTCTAATTTCTCTTTAACTGCAAATTTATTCTTTCTTTCTATGGGAAAGTGTTCTCCAGGGAATCACCTTCGGAGATTTCCAACTTTGTGGGCTTTAGGCCTCATCCAGTCTTTCTTCTGGTTGAATCTAGTTTGTTCATTCCTTTTCCCCCTCCCCATTCATCCTTTAAAAGACTTTTTTCCATTTCTCCATTCTTTCTATCTGCTGTCTTGGAAACTTTCCCTGCAGTCTGAGGAGCCTGAAGATTCACCAAGGGAGAGCAGAAAGAAGGGGATCAGGACCCCAAGCCTGAATTCACTTGGATTGTAATAGAAGATGAGGGACTAGAGAACTTGAACTATAACTACCCTAAGGTGCCTGCTATGATTTTTTGGATCTACAGTAACCTTCACCATCCACCATGAGCCACTTCATGTCCATTCTCCTCTCCTCTCAAGCTTTGAACTTGAAAGTAAACAGTTTACTTTCAGACCATAGCCAAAAGTCAGGGCAGGAGGAATGAAGACGTTTTGAGCTAGGTAGGTAGGTAGATGGGGAGAGCTGGGAACCAAAGTTAAATTGTCATGTCGACCACAAGAGGGCAATGTGATTCCATAGCCTGAATCTACCATAGGAGAAATCAGTCACCGGAGGACCACCCCCACAAGCAAATGGCTTAACGGCCCTGTGCTAAGGTCATCCTGTTCCTACACCTGGCTCCAGGCCGGACCAGACAGATGTGGATCCTTTGTGCTAAGAGCTCATTAGTGGAGGCACACTGGGCCACTGTCTTAACAGGCAGGGAAAGGCCAAAGACACACTGTCATCCTCGTTTATGAAGACTAAAAATAGTAACAGACGTCTCCTCCAAATTGCACGAAGGTAACGCTTATCCATCACTTTGCAAAACTAGTAGGGCTTGTCTAGGCTGGTGCTATTCACAACTCTGCTTTGCCTCAGGTTCCCACCAAAGCATTTGTTGGAAAAGAGCCATTCTCATTTATTTGAGGATGTTTTCTTTTTTCTTACATAGCTGTACTTCATTATTGGACAATTGCTCTGCTATGCCTTTAAAGGGCTTTTGCCAGTCCCACTTATAATCTCCCCACATCAGCTCTCCATTTAACAATAACCTGCTGTCCAGGTATCCATTTTCCCTACCTGCTAGTGCAAAAGGCAGCATAATTAGGACTCTAAAATGCATTGGGCACAAAAATTTAACATGCATGCCAGCCTCCGTAGTAAAGAATTCCTTCTCCTACTTGTCTAAATTTGTTATTTCCTGTATTATGTTCACATCATGAAACATTAAGCTGATTTTGAGGAGGCTCTCCTTGCTGCTTGCACAAGTGCCAAAATTGCTACATTGAAACTCCAGTAGGAAACAAGTATTGATTTGATGTAGCTTCTTTCTTCTGTTCATAGTACAGTGTATCATTCTTTGCTTTGTGTTTGGAGGAATCACAGCACACTCCCAAGTCTGAGTTGGTAACACTAAAGGAGAGTCAACAGACTCCCCCTTGCAGATGAAGTCTAAGTTCCACACAATTCTCAAACTTACACATGCACAATTACATATGCAAGTTGCATACCACTTGTGGCACACCTAGGAAAGGAGGCACGCTGATTACATGCCCTCTGAAAACCACTGATTCAGTGTTGATATTGGCCTGCTGTTATTACTGTCTTTCCACTGACATTAAGCATGCCATGTAAAGTTTTGGTGAAACTGCTCAAGAATCAAGGCCAATGCGGTATTTCAGATGCTGGCTTGGATTCAATTTTCCCCTCTCACCAATAAGTGCATTACTTGACAGCGTACCTTTCAGAGAACCAAATTCAAGAAACGCTTCAGTTCAATATTGATGGAGAAAATGCCTATTGCCCCTGGTTTCCCTGATGCCAGCTGGTGTATCGCCCTCGTCCTTTTTGGTCAGGATACTATCTCTATAAAGTGGGCACTTCTTACCCATCTTGTCCTTCAAAAACACAGTGGCCTTGCATATAGCAGATTCTGAATGATTCTTTAAAGTCCTTCAGTAATATTTATAGTTCAAAGATGTTGAAATTCTCTCAGAAGATCAGTTATCTACAGTGGCCCTCCCAATTCTAAATCTACAAAAGCCCATAGGAAATAATCTAACATGTGTCTAGGTTCCTTACATGTTGAGCACAGAGGAAAAAAGCACACTAAATAATTGGGCTCAGCTTCAGTGCATCAGGATGCTATATGCTCTTTGACGCTGTAACCACTGAGGCAAACCTTAAGAGTCTTTGAGAACTTAAGTCTCATGAGCAGAACCAGGAGAATGTTGTACACAGTAACAGCCACGTAATACGATGACTAATGTTGATAGACTTAGCCCTTTTCAGCAATGCAAGGATCTAAGACATCTCCAAAGGCCTCATAGACTTTGAATGCAGATCAAAGCATACTATTTGCTATTTTTTTTCTTCTGTTGCGTTTTGTTTCCTCTTTCTGGTGGTTCCTCCTATTGGTTCTAATTCTTCTTTACAACATCACTTATGTGAAAATATGTTTAACAGGAATGTGTATGTATAGCCCATATCAGATTGTGCACCATCTTGGAGAGGAAGGTGGGGAGGGAGGGGGAGAAAAATTTAAAACTCAAAAGCTTATGAAAGTGATTGTCAATAAATCAAAATAATTTAAAAAAAAAACCTCAGGTCTTCAAACCTGCTCAGAAACCGCTATAGGCTATGTCTAGAGATAACTGAGAATCCCAAATGGGTGGGTGACTCCAAAGTAGAGCTATTAGTGACTGACACTTTAAGTCTACCTTTCTTCCTAGAAATGGCAACGAGAGCACCCCTGGATTCCTGCAGCATTTTCTCAGGTGGTTTCTCCCTTTCCTTACCTGAAAATCTTGATGAGCAGTAGATGGAGGGATTTTACCATTCATCATGATTTGTTGTAAAGCTAATCATCTCTTGAATGGCGAAAGCCATGCCGTATTTTGGCAGGTCAGCTGTTTTATGTGTTCTGCCCATGTGTAAGGAGTTTGAAAGAAATCTCAATCTCTCTATTGCCTTTTTTTATGCACACACATACACACACACAGTTAACACTGGTCCTCAGTCTCATCTACACAATTTATTGTTACAAGGGGAGTTGTGGGGGACAAGAGGCTCATAAGGGTGTAACTTCCCCTCTACTATAATGTGGTCAGAGCCCCCGAGATACTTACTCTGCTCTCTGGGCAATCCTGCCCACCCCTCATGCCAGGTCTCAAACAGCACCACCCTGATCTGGCCCCCCTCACCTCACTCCATAAAAACTGACAACTATAGAGTTAGTTCAGCCAAGCTGCCCCGCTCCCCCCCCTACTCCTGCTCCCGGCTCCAGCCTACACATTCACTCACACTCACCAGCTCCCACTTCTACTTCTTCTCTATCCTCTGGACCTCTCCATTGCAATCATAGGGCCTTCACTGACCCTGGATACCCAATAAGCTTCCTAAACATTCATACTGTCACTCACACACACCCGTCCCCATTAGGGGAATAAGGATTAATCAAAATCAGCATTAGCAACTCCATCCCCAGTGGGTTCCCCAGATGCCCTTATTACAGGGCATCCTGGGATAGAAAAAAGGAATCTAAGCTGGGATGCAGCAACCCCTCTTCCCTCATCTGAAGGTTCCTGGATCAAGGAACAGCATGTCCCCTTCTAGTCTTCCTCCAAAATAAGAAGACAATCCAGGAATGAAAAGTCAAAGATCTGGGTCCCTAAGAGACATTAGGATCTCTCTCCCAGGGCTGGGGGGGGGGGCAAGTTAGAGGTCAAGGTTAGGGTAGAAATCAAAAGGTCAAAGTCATCTCCCTGCAGAATCTGTCTCACCTCTCTCTCTTGTTCTCTCTCCAGCCTATCACCCTTGTATATACCACCCCCCCAACCTGGGTTAGAGCTAAGGGGCTGGGGGGTGGTGAGGGCCAGGTCCTTCAAAAGGGGAAGGAGGGATGCTCAAGAAGAGACCTCCATAGTATGTCCTGGAGACCCTGAAGGAACAATCCCAGGCTCGCTGCTCTGAGAGGCAGCTCGAGGACGGCCGTTATCAATCGAAGCTCTACTGGTCAGGGAGGCAGTTCGGGATCGGGATAAACGGGTCATACAGGAAGATGCCACTGTGGAGGTGGGAAGCAGATGGTATGAACAACTGATTAAATGATAAAGGGAAAATACAAGCCAAAAGTAGGATTATCAGGAGAAAGGAGTTGATATAGATAAGGAAGGCAAGGGCAAGAACTGGGGAATACTAGGAAGGAGAAGGACAGAGGGCTAATGACAATAGAAATAGGTCAAGGAGACTTGGGGCAGGAAACAGACAGACAAACTTACTCCAGCTCCAGGCCCAACCTCCCCCCTCCCCACCATTCTTCTCTTCTTAAGGGAACCCTGAATCAGAGTTCTTAACACGAGAGAGAGAAGCCTTGAACTCCCTCTCCTGCCCCTACAAACCCTTCATACTCACTGTAGCCCATGCCTTGAACAAAATATTTGAAGGCTTCGGTCAGCTTGCCGGGCTGTAAAAGTGTGATGCAAAGAGGTAGTCAAGGAGGGTTGAGGAGTGCAGGCTTTGGGAACTAAGAAAGGGTGACTGGGGTTCTAGGAGCCATACGAGGGTTCACGGTGGAATTAGCATTCCACACCGTCTCACAGGCAGCAGGGAAACTCACCTGGGTCAGCTGAGGCTGACCTCCAGAATCTGCCATCTGTTTAGGGGAGAAATTCACAAAAGCAAAATGATTCAGACAAACTAAGTCATGGGATGGGACCAAGAATCTGTTTCTAAACCCCTACTCTTAAACAGATCCCCCCTTTTTCTTTTAATCAATCATTCTGACTTTACCTCACCCCTCCTCCCACCCCCCTTCCTCAGCCCCTCAGCTAGGCAAGGCCCAAGAGACCAAGAAAGCTAAGGCAAAAGAAGCTGAGAACTAAGAAACAGCAGGGCTATGAGTCATGCACAGGAAGGCAGTCAAAGCCGGGAGAGGGTGGTGACTGACCTTGAGGAAGGAGGTCTTGGTTGGGTCCAGCTTCGAATTACATTCCACCTGATGAGGAGGAGACAAGACGAGGGAGGATCCCTAGCTTCTGAGAATCCTAACTCCACAACTCCTGAAGCAGAGCCTACTAAGTCCCCCTCTAGGAGCCCAGAGCCCCATCCTTTTCCTGTTGGTTCTCAGCTCCCTTTCCTCCCCCAGGACGGAAATCTTCAGGGTTCCATAAGAGCACTGATTAAGAACTAGAATCCAACCCCCTTATTTTACAGATCCAGAAAGGTATAGTCATTTGCCACAAATGACAGAGCGAAGGTTTGAGCCCTGACCCTCCTACACCAAATCCAGCCATTCCTTCCTCTTCTACCATTCTGCCATTTTGATCCTGCCTCCTCTCCCCTCAAAACAAAGCTCGGATATGCTCCTGAGCCCAGAAATTAGGTAACTCCTTGCAGTTCACCACCCTAAGACCCAATTCTAGAACATCCCACTGACCACAGCATCTTCGTAGGGTGCCTGGTCTCCCACCACAAGCATCACAGGGCACCTAGAAGCACAATGATAAAGAGCAGCGGGTTTGGCTGCCTTCTTCCAGAAAGCAGCTAAACAGTTGCCTAATATGAAGGTGACCTTAACTGGGGACAATCCCCTATACAACCCTGATCCCCACGCCCAAACCCCTTACACTTTCCAGTTTCAGGGAAGAAAAAGCCTGGAGAAAAATAAAAGTAATTTTTGAAGCCAAGTGGGGAGATGCGTGAAAAAAATCCAGACCACTCCTTCACTCCTCTTTGGCATAAGGTTTCCTATTTTCTAAGAGGTAAGGGTACTTGGGAAAAAATCCAGGGAGAATATAGGAGAGCATGGATCCTGGAACATCTTACTTGAGGGTTGCATCACCCCTACGCTCAAAGTGTAGGTCTCGGCGGCTAGAGAAGAAAAAAGAAAAAGAGGTAGAGATTAGAGGCATGATCCCCAACCTGTTCAGAGAAAGGCTACCATCCCCCAAGAGACCAAACATAGGTCATTTCTGTGACTGCATTATGGGGAATGGAGAAGGTGGTAAAATGAAATGGGGTGGGCTCAATCACTTGTGTCTCAGATCCCTGGAATAAGAGGTTCTGGTATGTATGTGTGTGGCATATGTATGTGATGTGTGAGAGCCAACGTGCGGGTGTGTGTGTGTGTGTGTGTGTGTGTGTGTGTGTGTGAGAGATAATCTTAATGCTGGAAAACTAGAAACCTACTGATCTGTGGAAGATTCACAGAAGACAGGGTGGGTACTACCTCCAAGACAAGGAATTCCTTCCATTTTCCCATGCCTGTCCCAGGTGTATCTACTGTCACAACTGCCCACCAGAATCCTGGGTACCTCTCCCATTACGTACCTATTTCATTTTACCTCTATGTCCATCTCCCCTGTGTGTGCCCCACCCCACCCTTGACTTTGTTCCCTTCTCATTTGCTGTAGTGACAGCAATAGATTTACTCCATCTCCCCACTTCTCTTCCTTCTATTACCTTATCGCACCACACCAAACACACACACACACACACACACACACACACACACACACACACACTGCTCAATTACTTGTTGTAGCTGTTCCAGAAGAGCTCAATGTTCTCTAGGTTGGGGGCATGCATAATGATATCTCGATACCGTTGTACCAGCTCTGAGTCACCAGACAACTCATCCTGGGGAAGAGGTGGGGGATGGGTAAAAAGGAAAAAAAGATTCTGGTGGGGAAGGGAGCTGCCCTAAGCACCCAGAACCCCTTGCGGATCCCTTTACTCCCCCCCCAAAGCTGCCATGACTCCCACCGGCTACCCAGTACCTGACTAAAGAGGTGCTCAAGGATCATCTCAGAGATTGAGCTGGTGAGGCCAGTCAGCTGTAGGAAGAAAACTAGGTAAGAGATGGCACAGGAAGGAGGGGAATTCCCACTTGATCCCCTTGTCCCATCCTAGTAGGATCAGTGTTTCCCATTTCTCACCTCCACCCCCTTTTCCTTTTTTCACTTTGTACATACTCCTGATGCACATCCTGGGGCTAGAACCTAATAAGGGAGCTCCCCAGCTTCGGAGAACATTCCTCTTCTGCTCCCCTCCCTTCTCCCCTGCCCTAGCCATACAGCCATTACTCTCAAGCACCTCCCACTTGCCCCTCCAAACCTTGTGGGCAGCCCAGTCCATCCAGCCCTTAGCATTGCAATCAATGTTGATGAGAACAAGGCCTTCCACTACATCTGGGTTTAAAAGCTTAGGGACAGTAAAGAGACAAAAGTCAAAATCTCCCCTACTCCCCAATTCAGACTCCCTTCCCTAAATCCCCTAAACTGTCTTTCCCTCATCTTGGCATCTCCCCTTTTTCTTACAGCAAATCGAGACAGGATATAGGCTCCAGCTCCAACCCCGACTCCAATTATCGTAGAGAAGCTGTAAGGGGGAAGAAAATTGGGGGGGGGGGAGGTGAGAGAGAGAAGGAACTGTGGGGTTCCAACAAGGGCTAAAACTCAAGAGGGGCAAAGACAGCCAAGCACTTTGTTCTCAGTACTAATCTTCCCTCTGCTCTCTTCCCACCTCAGTTATCTTGGAAAACTGAAGCTCCTAGAAGTCTAAGAAACCCCCTTAACCAGAGAAGGAAGAGGTAAATACAGACAAATGGAGAAAAGACCACTGGGGTAGACTGGAAAGCAAGTAACAGAGAAGGCCAGAAAGAGTATTTAAGAGCAAGGAGAAGATTATTACAAATCACTGCTCTCTCTCATCTAAATTGTAATCCAGTCCAACAGTATGGGATTCCTTTCAGGGTGATAGAACTCAGTACTCTAACGAGACATAACAGGAAGAATAACTAACATTGATATGGCATTCACTATGTGCCAGGCACTGTGCTAAGCGCTTCACAAATATTACCCATTCAGTCCTCATAACAACCTGGGAAGGAGGTGCTATTACTAACTCCATTTTACAGATGAGGAAACTAAGGCAGACAGAGATTAAGTGATTTAACTAGGGTCACACAGCTAGTACATGTCCGAGGTTTGATTTGAACTCAAACGCTTACCAAGGTGCATCTAATCCCACAGAGCAGGTGAGCTGACATGGCTCATAACATGAGTCTATGCAAAAATGACCAGTCTTTCTCCTCCTCATTTGTTACAGTGAAACTGCTCAAACCTCCCTCCCTCCCTCCCCCAAGACCACAGGGACAGTCCCTCTAGGAGACATCCTCCCCTTGGGGGAGGATGAAAGCAAAGGTAGGCACCAAGTAAAGGAAAATCTACATTCGACTGACCAGAAGGTCTGACCCCGCAAAAATAAAAGGGGGTGACCACAATAAGGAGGCTCCTCCCAATTCACTGTGCCCCACTACATGCCAACCCTATCCCCATTCTTCTTCTAGGAGCTTTTCCAGAGTGGTTCTATTTTTGTTTCTGATCCTACTCTGCATACTGAGAGTATAGAAGGAAGAAGCATAAACTTGAGATAAAAAGATGATACGGATACTGTGAGTGGTCAAGGGAAGGGAGAAAATGAGAAAACCAGAGTTGGCCAATTCAGTGACAGAATACAAAGAAGGCTAAGAACAGAACCCAGAACAGGCAACTTTGCATACCAAGGACAAGTCTCCCTATTCCCAAAGGAGGAGGAAGGGAGAGAGAAGGTGAAAAGACAGGTTGTTCCGGTTCCACAGGGTTTATGTCACCCCTTTCCCTTCCCTCTCCAGCTTCCTGATCAGAAGGGGCCCCTCCCCAGCCAGCAGGTCAACAGTACTAAGAAAATTCCCAGAAACTCAGGACAAACATTAAACCCTCCCTTCTCCTTTTTCCCCTCCTCACCAACCTAGGCAACCCAAGCAGACCCATCTATCTCAGTTTCACCACCCTCTGTGACCCAGCCTAATTCCCCAACCATCTCCATCCACTTCCCACAACAACCACCCGTAAAAGTGTGAATGTGGGTGGGAGGGAAACAATGCCCAAGACTAGAAATCATAACTTGGGGGTGGAAGGTAAGGAATACTTGTTTTAGAGGGGGAAGAAAAGAATACCCAGGCCTCTCACTTTAAGTATTGCAGGATAGCAGGGATCATGTCTGCAAGCTGGTCCAAAGACGGATACTGGTACCTAAGGGAGATGGAAATATTAAGGACTCTGAAACCCCTAGTATCCCACCACTTATCGTCCCCGGGTGACCATCTTTTCTTCCCCTTTCTCATCTCCCAGCTGGTGACTCCTCCTGCCCTTCCCTATTCATTCATGAGCAGATATCTGGGTATCATAAATGGAAACGGTTCTTACCCCAAAGGGAACACAGGTGCCCCCTCCTCCATGCCAGGGGCCTCCACATGAACCCGAACAAAGTTCTTGATAATTTCCTGCATGTCTCCGAAATCAAACAAGGGCTTGAAGCAAGTCTTATCTAAGGAGAGTCCCCCAAAACCACCCAAGCAGAGGGATTAATCTGGGAGACAAAATCCCCTGAGCCAGACCCCATCCATTTTCCCTGAGAAGGGTCAGACTGGGGAAGATCTCCTTGATAGCCCCAATGCCCCCATATTTGTTCATTCCCACCCCTTCATTCTGGGCTACCTGTTCCCCTCACCTCTTCTTTACTTGGAAGAAAGAGTTTCAAAGGGAGTGTGGTGGGAGTGGAGAGAGAGAGGCTTTAGATTGGAAATAGTATCAGATACAGCCCTATTAAAAGGAGAAAGGAGGGCTGAGGGTAGGGATATATGAAGAATTCTAGAGGAAATGCTTACAATTGAGTCCTACATCATGGTAGGTGAAGATCGCTGGACGCTTGGGCTTGGGGGTGCCATAAACAGTGAAAGTGACGGAGCCATAGGGGGTCTCCACAGAATGAGTCTGTGAGAAACAGAGATCAGAGTCAAGGCTGGGGTTAGACTAAGAAGGCAGAAGGCAAGGGGAAAGGGTCAGATCAGGGTTGGGGTACAGGGAAGAAGAGCAAGAACAAAAGAAGTGGGATCAGAGCACAGGAAGATAATAAGATCAGAGAAAGCTAAAGTGGAAGATTTAGTAATGTGGAAGATGAGTATGAGGGTGAATCAGATGGAGGGAAAGATGAAGAGAGCCAGTGAGCACCAAGAAACTAAGTGAAGAGAAAAGTATAGGGAGAAAATGGGACCTAGTGTGGTAGAAAGAAAAACAGAACAGGGGAGGGTAAGGAAGCAAAAAAATCAGAACTGACCAGTCAAGGGAAGCTTCTCTCTAACTAGGAAAGGGAGGGGGGAATGGATCCCTACCCTTCCCACCCTGGGTCTACCCCAGGCTGTTACCTGTCCTTGGTCCAAGAGAATTCGGGCAGCTAACTCAGCCTCCTGGAGAGATATACAGAGACACAGACAGAGATATGCATGGCAAGAGACACAGACAGAAAGACAGATATAGATGAAGATGAGTAGACAAAGACCGACTCAAAAAACAAAAAGAGATAAAAAAGAAAGAATTGACAGAGACACACAGAGAGGATGAAGGTTAGTGTGGGAAACGGTGTTAGGGGCATGGGCAGATGGCTTCCAGCACAGGGATGGGGACTAGACTCCAAGCGGTGACGTATGGGAGGAGAGAAACAGGGATGGAGAAGAGAAGAAAATAGGGGCAGGAGTTAGGATTAAGGTCAGGGAGTCTGGGAAACTAGGATATAAATCAAGGGAGGGTCTTGATGTCTGGAATTCGGGGATCAGAGAGTATCCAGAAACCTTAGCAGCTTCAGGAGTCTGTCCTGGTAACAGCGGCTTCTCCTCAGTAATATGCACCTCCTGTAACTCCGCCATGGTGGCCTGAGATGGTATGGGGTGGGGGAAGGGAGAAAATGGGAGGCAGTGAGCGGAGAACTTAACTCTCCCTGCTCAGACACTGCTTTTTCCCCACATCTTGGGTCTGTCCCAAAATATCTGTCTGTGACATCCCCTTCAAAACCATCCTCTCAGAAAATGAGACAATGCAATGGAACTGGGAACATGTGAGGATGAAATCCATTAATATGACAGGCATACAATCCCGGCCACATTGGACATTTTCTCGAGGACATACAAGGTGGGAAATCTGGGGGGATGGATAAGGACTCCAGATATGCTACACTACTACCACCAAGCCTTCTTTTCCCTCCCCTCTGTCCAGGACAGAAATACCCAGGGAGGGGCAGTGGGACAGCTCATATTTCCTGGGCCTATATTTAGGGTCCACCCCCTCCCTCCTCCACCCTGAATCAGAGGCTGCCCCTAGCTGCAGGGGAGTGGGATTGGTGGGTTCAAGGAACTAAGTAGTCCAAAGGTCTAGATACAAGATACAAGGAAGAAAAGTCCATAACTGATTGTAACCTTCAGCTCCCAGCCCCCCCCCCAAGGTCAGTGGCTCAAGAGGAAAAGGGACCTAAGTGGCCAGAACAAGAGCAACTAGGGAGACTAGGCTGAACTTTGGGGAGACATACAGAACTCTACTTATCACCTTCCCTTACTCCCCTCTACCAATGGTCCCTGAATAATAAACTTGTTTGAATTCAACTTCTAAGTAGATTGTAGACAGCAAAAGAGAGAGACAAATACAAAGTAGGGGACAACTACAGATAGGTCAGTAGGTGGGGTCACTTACTGGATTCTTATTGGTTGGATGCAGTGAGGTTAAGGGTGACCAGTTCTCACTCTTCTCAGTCCAGGGGTCTGAAGAGACTGCAGAGAAGAGGTGAGTGACCCCAGGGGCAAAACCTTGGCATTTCAGAGAGGAAAAGTCTCAACTAATCCCAGCGTTACTGACTATTGTTCTTCTGGGAGACCCCATAGGGTGGCAATAAGGTTACATATCCCCACGCAATTACTGCAATCTCAAACCCAAAGATAGTGTTTCTTTTCAGGAACTCTTTCTACGATGTTTTTTTTTTGGTTGGTTGGTTTGGTTTTTCCGTACTTTTTTTAAGGACTGAGTAAAGGAATGGGGGTAGGAGCAGAGGGTATCTATCATACCAGTCCAAGGTCTTGAGGCAGAGGGCACAAGGGCATCTGGTGGAAGAGCACTTATTAAACACCTACTATGTGCCAGGCACTAACTATTGGACTGGATTCTTAAGGGCTAGGGGTCTAATCACTGCTTTGCTACTAATTAGCTATGAGACGCTGGGCAAACCATTCCCTACCCTCTGCCCCGTCTGTAAAACAAGAGGATTGATCTGAAATAAATGTTCCTTCCATTCCAACTCTAAAATCCAATGAGTGGGAATGGGATAGAGCACATATAGCCCATTTTCTTCCCTACTCCCAAAGCCCATCCTCGAAGCCTTAAATTTATGTTAGCCCTGAGAGGGGAGCAGAGTAGGTAATTTGAACAGAGTGGGGTTGCCAGGGACTCTTCCCACACTGGCCCTCTTAGAACCCAGATTCAATTCTGGGGTCTTCGAAGCGGAACCTGCCGCTTCCCATCACCCTCCCGGGCCAGCCTCAGCTTAGCACCTGAGACCGGTTCCCGCGTGCCTGGACACGCTGCCCATTCACGTGGGTGAAGCCACCTACTCGTGGTGGACAGCCATGGCTCGGTAGCCAGCAGCCAGACTCCCACACGCCCCGCGGCACGGAGAGGGCCGGCTTTGTACTCTGCAGCAGCTACACCCCAGCTCGGCACCCCCTCCCTCCCTGCTCGCAGGCCCCGCTGCCCCGACTGTCACCTTTACTCGGAGTCCGCCGGGCCCGAGCGCACACTCGCCCTCCCTCGGTCCAGCCACACGGATGTCACCAACTCCCGGGACAGAGCCCCCCGCCCCTCCCCCTACCTGCCGCCGCGGTCGCCGCCGCCGCTTCCACCTTCACTCGTCTTTGACTCCTGGGCACGCCCCACCTCCCCGCCCCCATAGACCCGCCCAACAAACGCTCGGGGGCTGGACTGCTCCCCTAGCCTCTGCAGGACCCGCCCGGTCCCTAGCCCCGCAATAAACACGCCCTTCCAGCTTGACCCTGCCCCAGGTTCGGTGCCCCCCCACCGGGGTGGGGCCAGAGTGAGGGTCTGAGACTGCGGGAAGGGAACAGTATTGCCGGGTCGGCGGGCGCTCCCTTTCACTCTTTCCCCTACCCCGACAAAAATCTAGAAAGAACGGGGAAGTAGAGAGCCGTTCCCTAAGTCCGGGGAGGCGATGCCCCCCACCAAAGTCTTGGGGGGGATACCCCCACCCTCTCTCCTGACACCTGCTCTTCGTCCCCAACCTCCCGGTTTCTCCTGTTCCAACTCCAGACCCCTTTTCCTAAGCCCTCTCCCCCTCCGCCCCCCTCCCACGATCATCCCGTGTCTCTCATGGGAGAGGGTTTCGCAGGACCCTGCCCCCAGCCCTAATACTCCAGGGTTTTTCCCCAAAGGCGCCAGGGTCCGCAGGGAGGCGAGCAGGGGAGGAAGGGGAGGGGGATCCTGGGCTGAAGAGGAGGAGATCGGGCTCAGACGACAGGAGGGGAGGCCCGGGGTCAGGGGGCCTCGGGTAGCCTCGGGAGGTCCGGCCCCGGGGTGCCTGGGGGTCCTGGTACCTCTGTTCTCTGCGTCCCGCGGTTGCCTACTCTGCTCCGGAGCGAGTAGTTGGAAAACAAGCCCGGGGGGGGGGCGGGGAACGCCGAGAGCCGCTATAAATAGAGCAGGGGGCGGGGGGGCGCAGAGAGAACAGAGAAGGAGGGGGAGAGGGGGACTGGCCAACGCGGACTCCAGGGTCATGGCCCCGAGGGGGGCGGGGGAAAGGGAAAGCTTGGGGACCCCCAGGGGCTCTGACTCCTGGGTAAACAGGCTGGGGGGCGGGGTTAACCCCGTGGGTGGGGACTGGGGGGGGAGTACACAGTGTCCCGGGCTGGGGCCCAAGAGACCCCGCTGTGGACTGAGCTAACCCCTCCTTGCCCGGCCCAAAGAATGGGAGAGACCAACGCAGCCCAACACAGTCCCAGAAAGGGCAAACCCCTCCCGACCCTGAGTATGTATCTCTTGCATTGCCTGCCTCTCTGTCTTTCTGGGCATCCCTGAAGGACCTGCGTTACCTCATGCCCGCCCCTCTCTCAGTGTAGATCATTTATTGTTGGGGCAGGGTGGGGGTTGCCCCGGGCATGAGGCAGGCCGGGCTTGACTGCGCCTACCCATCTCCTGCCAACCCACAAGCTCCCCCCAGTACTCTCCAACCCAGCCTAGCCCACCCCCACCTCCATGCAGCCTGGTTTCCGAGACACCATTTAGGGGCCCCCGGCACTGGGCCAGTTGGAAACAATAGCCAATGGAACTGAAGCTGCCAACTGTAACGCCTGCACAGACCAACCCCTTTCCCTTCCCCAGACCCCCAAACTCACCCTCCCCAAGCCTGGGAACTACCGCCTCCCCCCTCTTCCAACTCCCCCAAAGAGCATCAATGCCCCTTTCATCCCCACTTGGCAGGGGCTTCAGGACGGAAGGAGGGGCTGAGCAGGAGAAGGCTCTGAGAGAGGGATCAGGCCAGGATCACTTCAGAGCCCCCATTTCCCGCCCCCCCCATCCCTAGAGGCATCAGAAACACACACCCAGTTCTCCTAACACCCCACAACTTCTTTTCTACACCCTTCCCCCAACTCTGTTCATCATTATCCCTCAGGAGCTGGGCACAGAACCCAGGCAGTCTGGCCCCCAGCCCAGTCCCCTCTCCCCTCCAAACCCAAGATTTAACCCCGATTTTAGTCTGAGAGTGAAGGCAGCTGGGCCTACAATTATAGCTGTGGACATGAAGGTGGGTGGGAAAGAATTTTGTTGTGGACCTCCTCCATGCTAAGATGGAGGGAACTAAGAGGGAGGGGTCTTCTTTAGGAGTAGCAGGAAGTTGCTTGAAATCGGTACTTACTATATAGAAGGAAGGGAAGGGAAGGGAATATAAACCGTTCCTTAGAACTAGGAAAAGTGTATATCAATAGTCTGTTCTCTAGGTTGAAAGATTTAAAGTAGTAGTGCACAGCCAGTAAGCTTAAAGTTATAATGGCAAAGAGTCCCTGCATCCATAAATAAGCAAATGTACCTTCCCTTGACTAAAGATTGTAATTAATAAAATAGAAATTTATTTCTAAAGTATTATTGAAAACATACTAGTTTTTAAAATCATTATGTATTTTCCCAACCTGTTTACTAATCTAACTGCTATCATGTTGGGGGTTGGGGGGGGGGTTCTCAATCTTGAATTAGACTGGAAACTACTCCCTGGTCTACAGTAGTCATGGGGGGGTTAGGAAGGGGGCGGGGAAGGGGAACCAGGGAAGGAGAGGTGACCAACATCTAAATTCGTCTCTGGGTCAGAATGACTCAGGGAGAACCTGATAAGGGGCCTAGGCAAGAGAGGGGAGAGATGAGCAGGAAATTTCCACTGGAGATTTGAGATGGTTCCCAGAAACTGGGGTCCTCACCTTGAAGGAAAACACATCTGTTCTCTTGAGATAGGATCCCATGTCTGAGGTAAGCTGTTGCTAGGGAGGGAACAGCTGAATCAAGGATACTCCTCATTTAGGTCCTCCTCTTTAGCCATAAATTCAACAATCTAAGCTTATCTCAATTTAATATACATTTACTAGGATCCTACTATGTAGAAAACTGAACTGGAAGCATTTTGGAGCTAATTTTATGCAAGTAACCGGTTGTTGTTCAGTCATTTTCAGTCTTGTCTGATTCTTCATGACCTCATTTGGCATTTTCTTGGCAAAGATACTGGAGTGGCTTGCCATTTCCTTCTCCAGATCATCTTACAGATGAGGAAACTGAGGCAAACAGGGTGAAGTGACTTGCCCAGGGTCACACACCTAGTAAGTGTCTGAGGCTCGATTTGAAGTGTTAAGGACACATAAGTCTTCCTGACTCCAGGACTGGCACTCCATCCACTATACCATCTAGTTGCCCCTAAGTAACTGATTAGTACTGGGCAAAAAATATATATAACCCAGGGCTCAAGTCCATTTGCGTCAGATTCTTCTCATTGGTGGATGACTTACTGAATATACCCCAAAAGTTTGGAAGAGATCTTGTTTTTCCTGGCTATGATAACTCTTCACTCTTCACTGGCAGTCATGAACCATTGAGTAATCAAGCTCCACCAATTAAGAGAGTCTTATGCAAATGGGCTGAAGCCCATTGGGGTATTTAGATTTGAGCACTGGACCTGGAGATGGGAAGACCGGCGTTCAAATTTGGCCTCATATACTCACTAGCTATGTGACTGAGCATGTCACTTAACCTCTGTTTGCCTCAGTTTCCTCATCTATAAAATGAGGACAACAGTAACGCCTATGTCACAGAGTAGTTGTGAGGATTAAAATAATAATAATAATAATAATAATAATAATAATAATAATAATAATAGCTAACATTTGTATGGTGCTTCCTATGTGGTAGGCCCTATGCTAAGTACTTTAACAAGTATTTTCTCAATTGGTCCCTCCAATTTATTTTATGAGTGAGGAAACTGAAGTAAATAAGTGATTTGCCCAGAGTCACACAGCTAGTAAGTATGTGAGGCCAGATTTGAACTCATCTTCCTGACTACAGGCCTGGCACTCTTTCTACTGTGTGGCATCTAGCTTCCTCAAAAGATAATTGTAAGGGGCAGCTAGGTGGCACAGTGGGTAGAGTACTGGTCCTGGAGTCCAGAGGACCTGAATTCAAATATGGCCTCAGACACATAATGCTCCCTAGCTGTGTGACTCTGGGCAAGTCACTTGATCTCAATTGCCTCACCAAAAAAAAAAAAAAGATAATTGTAAAAAGTTCTTAGCACCCTAACTGGCACATAGTAGATACTATATAAATGTTAGCTATTATTATTATTATTATTATTATTATTATTATTGAGCCTCTGGTTACCCAGATAAAATGAAACCCTCCCTGTCCTCAACAGAAAAATCATGTCAAGAGGGAGAGATCACTAACAAAAGGGCATGGGGAAGGGCTTCATGTAGGAGGTGGTACCTCAGTTGAACTTTGAAGGGAGACAGAAATTCTGTGTTAAAGATGGATTCAGGAGATGCCACATCATGTGTGTAAATAGCCAGTATGACCAGAACAAAGACTGGAAAACTAAGTGGAAGCCACATTGTGAAGGGCCCTGAATGCCAGGCTGAGGATTTTGTGCTTTATTCTAGAAGCAATTGGAAGTTATTGAAGGTTGTTTAGTAGGAGAATGACACGGATGCCAAGGTCAGTCCCATGTTTTAGGAATATCATTTTGGCCCCTGCGTGGACAATAGATTAGAAAAAGATAGACTGGAAGAGACCAGTTAGGATGTTTTTACAACAGTCTAGGTGAGAAGGAGATGAGGGCCTGAGCTACAGGATAGACAGTGAATGGTGAAAGGGAAATAGATATTTCTTTAGAATTTCCAATAGAAATGGATGGAAAATCCACAGCGCTTGACAACTGATGGGACATGGAGAATGAGGAGGAGTGGCCGAAGACTCTAAAATCTCAAAACTGCGTATACAGAACCTCACTTCTAACTCTCAGCTATCTATCCTCGCTAAGAACTGGGAGCCACCAGTAAACAAAGAAAAAGGTGGTGTTAAGTCTTTAGATCCCTTAGAGCTAGGCTGAACTCCTATTCTTCAGCCATCCTGGAGCTTCATCTCAAAATGGTAGGGTATGAAGAATACTCAGAAGCTACTCTGTGTGTGGTACAAGGACCTAGATTCAGAGTCCCTGGAAGTCCCTAGAAGCAAAACTTCCTTCCTCCTTCCTCCCCCTTTCTCCTTTAGTCCCTTTGGTATGCCGAGCCATGAGGATCTGCAAAGTCCCCTTTGGAG